GAGTGTGTGTGTGTGTGTGTGTGTGTGTGTGTGTGTGTGTGTGTGTGTGTGTGTGTGTGTGTGTGTGTTGAATAGATTTGTTCTGTTTAGGCTTTGCCACAGACGCCTCAGGAACCCCCACCATGTTTACAGTTCATACTCTATAAATGGTGTGGGTGCGTGTGCTCGCCTGTCTGAAGCCCACAGGAAGGTGGAAGATGTCTGTGTGTACGTGTTGAGTGAAGCTGAGTGCCTGGCTCTCCAGTCTAAGTATCGCCTGATAACCCCGAGTGACCTGGGTAATGAGAAGTGGAACAGTGGCTTCCCAGCAGGCCTCTGGGCCCGCCTCAGCTAAAGCTTTCTGAAGTTGCCCTTCGGTGTTCCCCGCCAGCCAAACACACCAACTGATAAATCTTACATCTCCATTTACAGCAGCTTTAAGGCTGTTAGCTCGCAGCGCTAACAGGTAGCCCGCATGGAACGGGGGGGAGGATGTGGTCGGGGAGATGCAGGTACAACAAAGGAAACTCATTACATCTCTAAAGCTCTAGTAAATCATCCTGTATAACCTGATACTCTCCTTTATGACATGATGTTGTTTTTGCGAAACAATTTTAGCAATGTTACACATTAAATCATTTTACTGCTCATGGCTACAATGCCTGGGAAATATATCTTGTGGCTCTGGAGGGAGATTTCTAAAGACTTTAGATAATAACCCTGCTGATGTCAGAGTGATGTCATCAGCTATATCAGTTTGGACTCGGAGACCTCAATGTTTTTAATGGAAAGCCTGTGTTTAAACTGGGGGTTTAACATATGTGGGTGCTTAGCAGGCAGTGACAAAAATGCTTTAAAGTTGAATTATGGGAAATGTAGGATCCAGTGTTTGTGGAGCTTGATTCCCCCACGGAAAGTCGAGATATTGAGACATCTTTAGCTATAAATCGGACCTCTCGCAGGTCCTTAAACTTTATGGAAGGGTAATATGTCATTTTTCGAAGGCCCTATTATTTTATTTGCAAGTATAACCAACTTGAAGCAAAGAAAATTATTTTCCCACATGCAAATCTAGTGAGGCGCCTTTCCCCAATAGATAATACTGGAAGTTGTTAATTGGCATGGATTTAAGGGAAAACGGGAAAGAAAAGTGTCAGAGATTTTGCCTGGTTGGACAAATGAAAGGGTAATTTGTTACTAATGTGACATTAGTAGGATTTATCCAGTCTTTTTAACAGCACAGTTCCCAACACAATTGTCGGTTTGTTCATGCTTTGTGATCCCGTGTTGTTTATTATTTAATGGTCAAAGTCTGACAGCAGAACAGAGAGCATAATTAAGCAGGTTTGAGAGCTGTGACTCCCAAGTGTGGATTTGTTGGAAACAGAGGCGGCGTCTGAGTCACTGAGGTAACTGAAAACGGGCTTCTTAACATTACAGGCATTGGCTTCCTCCCACTTGAACATCAAAGTGTCTCTTAACATTCTGTGAGGAACGCTAACAGTCGAGAAAATCCGGCAAATCTCCTCCTCCTTTTATCTCTTACTACTATAAACACTTGGCCTAATTCCTTCTGCCAGTTGTGACATTTGTTTTAACCTGAGATAAAGTCGCTGTGGCTCTACATAGATTGCTTTCTGATTTCCTACTTCTAGCCGTGCACACTAGCATGTAGCGTTAAAGTCATCACAGGCCTCAGGAGTTAAGTCGGTAACTCATAGTATTTGCCCTTTTCAGCAAGAGATGGCCCTGTGCTGCGAGGGAATGACAGAGTTTGAGTCATCTGTTGAGTTGATGCCCCCGCTGACTGCTGTGTTTCATGTCCTCTGCTCTGGAGGGAACTCTGAACGCTGTGTTGCCACAGAGCGCCCACAAGCCCTCTATACTGCAAAAAAACACTTTTCATGTCGACTCCTCACAGGATTTTCCCCAATTTGAGCTTTTTCAGAACGTATTCAATTTGTCATGTGAAATATTTCCTCAAAACCTGCTGTAGTGTTCACTCCAGGAATGCCATTCAGAAACATTAGGATCATGTAACGTCAAATATCTTCACTAAAAGCCAAGGTAACATTCTAAAATGTTAATAATAAACCATATTTTTGTTGAGTTTATCACTTCCAGCTGCAGTTTCCCATGGATACCAGGTGTCAAACCCATCAGTAAACAACAAGACTTCATATCAGATTTGGATGGCAGACATCAAAACAGCTAATAAGCAAACTAATTACCTGAGATCTGGCATTCGTTCTGCTGATCTGTGGCGATAGTCGTCTGCCTGTTTCTTCTTTGATGGACATGCTTCAGTTCTCACCTCCAAATATGAGCGCTGATAAAAACAAAATGAGTTTCTGTTGCGTCTGTATCCAAGTTTACTCTGCAAGTCTTTTTGTTTACCAGACTTCACATTTGCTTGCAGTATTTACTTTCCTATGTATCCTCGAATAAACTCCAGGCTTTTATGTCTTGACAATAAAGCTCCTGTTCCTCCACAGCGATTGGCTGAAATTGGCTTTGGCATTTCAATTCAGAGAGTGATCTTGTACGCTTTGAGACTAAACATTTCCATAACTGAGGTTGATTTGGTGGGGTAGTGGAAAATGAATGCTTTTCTAATATATTAAATGTATTTGACTTTAATTTGGGCTTTTTTCCCCCCAATGTGGATCATCGTCCTACTTCTTCTTTTCTCCACCACTTCATGGGTTCAGCAGGGGATTTCGTGAGATTGTGTAGTGTATTTGTTCTTCTATGCAACAGCACCTGTTCCCAGTGAAGAATAAAAAAGAAGTAGGGGGAAATAGGCGAGTTAAAGGATCCATCTGTTGCTCATTCAGCAGCAGGCACAGGTGGCTCAGAACTGGTTTATTTTAGCAGGAAACAAAAGACTGATTAATGACTCGACGCCTTCCTTTTCTTTTCTAATTCCTCGCTCCTTCTGTCCCTTCCAGGTTCAAAGACGACAAGGGCTACGTTCTGTACCCTCAGATCGGGGACCGGCTGGACCTCATCTGCCCCCCGCTGGACACCGGCAGGTCCACGCCCGAGTACGAGTTTTACAAGCTCTACCTGGTGTCGTCACGGGAACAGGCGGACCGCTGTGAGGTGAGCGGAGCCCCCAACATTGTGCTGACCTGCGACGAGCCCACCCGCGAACGCCGCTTCACCATCAAGTTCCAGGAGTTCTCGCCCAACCTGTGGGGGCACGAGTTCAAGAGCATGCAGGACTACTTCATCATCGGTGAGTGGAGGGAGCTACGGTTGAGATTAGGGGATGGAAAGCGTGTGTTTATGGGTGTGTGTTGAGCTTTATTGCAGTGTGTTGGATGGGTTGTTATGATTGCATGGCTGATTTCTGATTGTGTCTGAATGTGTTTGTTTATTTCAGTGATGATGGCGATGATTGGGCGGGAGTGTTTAGAGTAATTAGGGTTGAGAATTACATGTGATTCCGTTGGTCCATGGGTGGATACAGTACACTGCAAAAAATGACCATACGAGCCTTGCCTTAAGTAAAAATATATTCTTGTTCTTTATGAGGAACCCCATTCGCACTAGCATGAGCATTAGCTATTCTTTCAAGGGTCCGCACAAACACAGTCAAACATACAAAAAAAAAAACACATAATTTCATACAATTCTGTATGAAGTGAAAACTAAAACTATCATCCTATTAAAACCATCATTAAACCAAACATATATAATACAATTAGTTAAATATACTACTGTTATATACCAGCCACAGTTAAATTATACTACATAATACATAACGTTTTTTTAAGCTCATTTTTAAATGTATTTGGGAATTTTCCTGAAAAACATGGACCGGCATTGAATTCCAGCTGACCATGGCTCTGTATAGGGCTGTTTTCTGTTTCACATTGTATTTAGTTTGAATGTATTTCTTCCAAATTAGATTTTCTGACGGGGGCACAATAAATGCAGGACGAAAAAGACAAAGACAGTATGAAGTAATTGCGCATACACCTAAGAAAACAATGCAATACAGTTATTGGTATTTGTTTCGATACACATTATTATATGCTTACCTTTGTGTGCTGTTTGGGTCTTTGGGACCCGTTTTTAGTGTTTACTAAAAGAAAATGTATGCAATTAAATTATTTTAACGTGCTTTATTTGGGGGTGGAGCTAACCTTCTCTAGGGGGGTCCAGGTGCATATACCCCGGGATGATTTTTTTTAAATGTTGAAGGGAAATGCATCAATCTGGTGCACTTTGAGCACAAAATTAAGCTCTCAACACTCAGATGAAAGGGAGCTGTATACTTTTCAATAATCAAAAAATCTTTAGAATATGATCACAACCAATAACAAATCATTTAAACTAGTTTATTCTCATCTTACCTAGTTAGCATTCTTTCTTTCTATTTATGCATATTTTACTAATCACTCCCCTTTCAAAATGTTTTTTTTTTTTACTGTCCTATAGTACATATTGGAATGATTTATTTATTTTTTACAACACACTAAATAGATAAAGGTGTGCTCTCGCTCTCGCTCTCTCTCTCTCTCTCTGTCTCACTTGCTCACAGAGGCTGTGTGCTCCTCCGTGGCGATGACGGCTTGCGTTAAAAAAAACTAAAACATATTTGTAAAGTGGGGGCTATTGAGGGCTTGCGAGATACCGGTAGCTCGTAATCGACGTGTCCCCCTGAGACCCCTGCTCTAATGGGTCCGACTAGAATGACAAATATCGTTACTTCCGCCTATTCCGTCAGCCAAGAAATTGTTTAATCATAAAAAAAATGTTTTTCCTTTTTAGGGGGGCCACAGGGTGGTCCAAAGTCAGTGTTAGGGGAGCACGCCCCCCCCCCTAGAACCGCCCCTGCCTTGTTGTAACTGAGAGTTATTTGACTAGCTTTATTTCCCCTGGTTCCCATTTCTTGAAATAAACACTAATCAGGTCTCTTTTTAAAGCAAATTAAACACCAATTACATTCTTGTCCTTTCTTGCAGTGTGTCTCTGTCCTATGCGACTTGTGTGGCCTTTTGTGTTCAGTGAAGTATGGTAACGTTTGGGTTTAATGGTTGTTTCTAAGTGTTTGGGTGTGTGTGTGTGTTTCACTGCGATGTCTTTGTCCTGCTCTGCTGCTGTTCTGGCCTGGGGCCTGTTTATTGTTACTGCCAGGCTCGCAGTGACCGCAAACGGCAAAGCACAGTTTGTTTTGGTTTATCCGGAGAGTTTGTTTGGAGTTAGGCTGTGGGAAGACCTGATGAGGTCATCAAGGCGAGCCAGGCCAATCGTTTGTATCGGACGCTGCAATCTGTGAGTAAAGGTTGAGTCAACTGAAACCTGTGGGTTGTTTTCAAATACAGGCCAAGAGCATTTAGCGTTCACAACTGAAGCGATGCACGCAAACACACTCAAAATGATGTATACACACACTCGCACACTCACAAGTTTCCAGTACAAACACTGTAAAAACACCCCAGGAGTGAGAGAGTGAGGAGTATAGACAAAGAGAGAGAGAGAGAGACCTGGATTCCCTTAGCTCTCCTCCCACGCACCTGCAAGCTTTATTCACTCAGGTGTGCAAATGCTCTTTCAATGCTTTTCATCTTTGGGTGGAAGAAAAAACGATGGAGCGAGTAAAGCCAGGAGGAGCAGGAAGCTGGGACAGAGATGGAGGAACGGACCGAGACGGAAAGAGACAAAGAGAATATCAGATCTCTGGAAACTCTGTGAAGTCCCTCATGCCTCTTTGTGTTCTATATTTGTTTGCCGGTTTCAGGTACGCTCGTTTTTTTGCGCTATCAGTCCTTACACCCGGTGTGTTTGTGAGGAGAGGTGAGGCACTGGGCATATTTCTCCTGCACCCTGCATCATTATCAACAACAAGTATTTCACCTAGATTAGATATGAGCAGGTGAGTGTGTGTGTGTGTGTGTGTGTGTGTGTGTGTGTGTGTGTGTGTGTGTGTGTGTGTGTGTGTGTGTGTGTGTGTGTGTGTGTGTGTGTGTGTGTGTGTGTGTGTATCTATCTTGCCGCATGTGTGCCCAGGAACCCATTGATACAGGAATTTTGGCACGATAAGTAGGGGAGAAAATGAATGCAATCTGATACCTGCTGATACCTGCTTCGATGACTGACAGATGTTGAACAGCAGAATCAAAAATATGACTGCGAGACATTTACGGGACACTATCAACACAGGATCTGTTGTTTGAAGGGACTTTCCCTAGTTTGTATTTTCCTTTAGTATTTCATCCGATATTCAAATCGACGAGGGTTCATATTTCTCATACGTTATGTGTCGAAAAAACAAGTCGACTGCTTATGGTGCACAAAGCCAGCACCCCCTGGAAAACTTCCATCAATAAACACGTTTGGGCTTTTTTACATCTGTCTTAAACTTGAGTTTTATTGCGTTGCAGTAAAGTGGAAAACAGTCATAAAACCCTTTTGCGGGCTCGCTAATATGCAAGCAGAGGGCCAAATGTGGACCACAGTCCCTATTTTACCCACCTCTCTTCCGTACTCCTGGCAACTGGAGTGTCCAGAGATAGAAACACCTTTATCTCCACACACAGAGCAGACTGATCGATTGACAGCTCCAGCCCGATCGATGACGGCTGCAACACAAGGTCACACACACACACACACACACACAAGTCACATGGTGAGAGTTTGACAGGTGAGGAGACAGGGGAGTAGCCGATCATAGAGAGCGCTGGCTACTGATAACTTATTGATAACGTCGCAGATCATGTGCTCCTAATGAAGAACTCACTAGAGCTTCTGTCTACTTAATGAGGCTGATGGATAATTAAAAACTGTTAATCCTACTGCTCATTCAGAGCCACGTATCTGCAGTATAGCATGGTGCGCTAGCTGCTAATGAATACACTATGGACTGGTCTCTGAATTCAGTTACAGTAAATGTATATGTGTGCGTGTAAGGGCACCAATGTATGCGCAAGCCTCAGGGAAATTGCATTTTAATCAACCAATAGCATGACGTGATTTAATTTGCTCACTGCAGGCACACACGGAAAGAGTGTGTGGATGTTGGAGCAGCAGCAGGAGGAAGCAGGGCAGTGGAGGTTAATTTCAAAGTTAAACCCATTACAGATTACCAGTAACTTGCTTAAAGCCCACTGGGTAATCGCTTTCCTTTGACACTGCGATGCACAGTGAATGATATTAAAATCCCACATCATAATTTGTGTTGACAGAAACAACAAGTGGTATCATTGATCACATATAGAGGAAATCGTTTGTGGCTAGAGGAAATCTAGCGAGCAATATGGAAGAAATCCAAAGTTTCCCCTTTGTTTTTGCGGTCACTAATGGACCACAGATGCCACTGTTTTGTAATCAGATTACTCGAATCCCATTAAATGTAATTCTTTACTTATGTATCCTGTGGAGAGGGCGAAAGAGTGGGAAAATCGATTAGTCATACCCACTGATTGATGTTTTCATTCATAACGCGAGGTCATAGTTTACGTAAACCCATTTCTCGGTGACACTCTCCCCCTCTCTCCCTCTCTCGCTGTTTTGTCTATCTCTCCCTATGTCTCTCCACCCTTTTTAGTTCCTCCTCCTCCTTTTTTTCCTGATACAAATCCTACCACAGACACACACAGACATGCTCAGTACATCCACCCAAACCGCAGATCAAGCCTTTCACTGCTTTTAATGAATCCTTTGAAAGCAGGCGCCAGGGCCCTTCGAAACACACACTCCTTGTATGAATGCAGCAGCAGCAGCACACACACACACACACACACACACACACACACACACACACACACACACACGCACACACACACACACACACACACACACACACAAAC